GCATGGACATGACCAGTGGGTTTGGATGGAATGACAGGTGAGGAAGGCGAAGGTGCTATCACACGTCTAGAAGCCTTTCAGGGGTGATTTTGCCACCCAGCAAGATACTGCAAGCACTTTCTAGGGATCCTGATGGGGTCCCTGTGTGTGGCAACAGTTTAACCTGATGATTGTTTGCATCAATCCCTCAGATGGTTTGTTCATTTGTCTTTCCCTCCTTCTTCCAGTCAGCTTCGGTTGCGTCAGCCGTGTTGGCTTCTCCTTCTCAGCCGTCTGCTTCTTCGCTTTGGACGATGTTCTTCGCTCCACCCGAGGTCCTCAGACCCGGTCTTTGCTCCACCGAGGTCCTCGCAATTTGGCTTCCCGGGCATCGAGTTCATCAGTCGTGCCAACTGCGCAGACGTGGCGCGAAGGAGGCCCGTGGGTGACCGAAAAAAAGCACCACAGCATTCCAAGCACCATTGATAATTGATTGACCGAGATAAAACCCTTGTCAACACCAGCCTTTCGCGGAGGTGGTGGTGGGGTCCTCCTGGGGTCATGGGAGAATGCATTGTCTTTTGGCTGGGGGTCGATTTCAAAACTTATAGAAGAACCAGTTAACAGTAGAAGTAGAATAGAATAACAGACCCCCTGGTCTGTTAACAGTCTGTTATTCTATTTCCTGGTCTGTTTTTCGTTCGTTTCTACTGTATCCTATTTAAGTCTATTTACAGGACATTGTCCACACCCGGGCCCCGAGACCCACATGGAACCCGGGCGATGGAACCGCATGGAGCGAAATGGAAGACGACCGTGGTTGTCATTCAAACTCATTCACTCTACACCGATGGGTGTAGATCTTGACCTTAAGATGGGTGTAGATCTTTCTCACTTCTCACTTCACCAAGTTCTTTCCCTCCAACAGCCCCCCCTTGGACTCACTTGATCTTGCCCAACTAAAAACACACCCCGTCTCCGCTCATCTCTGCTCTCCATGTGGTTCCAGAAGATCGTAACACCTTTTCTCTTCCCATCACAGCCCCCAAACCGCCGCCGCCTCTCTGCGCTCGCGCCTCCAGTTCCGCATTCACGCCGCCCGCATTCGCGCCGCCGCGCGTCTCCGGAGGAACTTGGCGCCCACCTTGGAGCGCTTCCCCGTGTTGAAGCTCGCCGGCGTGAGGCCTCCCCTTGGCGATCTGGACGAGATCGATGCCGGGGGCGCCTGGAGCGGCCAAACGCGCGGGCGTCACGGCGGCCGGTGGTTTAGGACGCCCCCACACCGAACGCAATGCATGCGGCTGGGAATCTGTGGGGGGGGAGGGTTTGCGCTCACAAAGCTACTGTATAGTGGCCCAAACTTCGATGTGATCCGCACCACTTCCAACATGTAAGACAGATGGTGGCCGTTTAACAGTCCGTTTAACCCGTCAGTTTTGGACCCTTCATCCTTGGATGTCCCGGACATATGCCCCGAAAAGCATCCGATCCCTCGAGGGATCCCGATGTGTTTGTCCTTTCTTGGGGTTCTCAGCTGTGTGCTTGAACTTGTGTGTTCTGCTGTTTGAACTTGCCAGGACTCAGAGGACCAGTGACAAGAAGTGAAGAGAAGAGAAACAGACCAAACGAGTTTATTTAGAGTAGTTTCAGATCAAACAACACTTTTCAAACCAAACAACCACGTTCAAATCAAACAACTCTTGGTCTCTTGGTCTATTTGTTTCTCCCCCCTCCCTGGGACAGAGAGCTCTGGCTCCCCAGAAGAGGCATTTCTTGCATGTTTGGGCCAAAGAAAAGGGAAGGTAAGAGAAGAGAAGAGAGAAGAGAGAGAGAGAGAGAGAAAGGCGGAGAGAGAGAGAGAGACTACATGCAAGATTCCATGCAAAGGGGCTAAAAACATCACCCTCTCCCCAAACTGGCACCCCCTGCTTGCCTCCTGGCTCACACTCCTCCCTCGAGGGCTGGCCATTCTCCCCAAAGGAGAACAGCAGCCCAAGGACTGTAGCCTCAGCATGCCTCAGCTGTCTTTTTCTGTTTTTTCTCTCTCCCTTCCCCAGTGGTGAAAGCATGTGGGAAACCCATACAACACCTGTCGTGTTTTCCGCGTCTTGTGGTGCGCATCTCCCGCCCAACACCCAGGCGGCTGATGCTGCAGCAGCCTGGAGCAATCCGCAGAAACCCAAGGCGATTGGAGCAGATGACATTTACGACCGTCCTTCAATCACCCCCGAAAGGAGAGGGAACATGTACACTGTTCGCGAGCAAACATTCCATGGCGGGCAGTCCTTAGACTCTGCAGCTGCAGCTGAAAAGCAGCTGTAGCAGCTGTGGCTGTGGCATCGGTCAGCTGCGGGTCAGGTGCAGGAAAGCATCTCGCGGGAGCCACGCTTCAATCTCGACCGGCCATGGCTGCCCGCGGCCGTCGGGGATCTCGGATTTCCGGGACAGGTGACGATGAAGGCCGCAAAGAAAGGTTACTAGTAGCAAGGAGGTATAGTAAGTGGAGGCCTTCGCTATAATGTTGGAGGCCATCGCTACTAGTAGCAAGAATTCAGTAAGTGGAGGCCATCGCTATTAGGTTGGAGGCCATCGCTACAGCAACAAGAAACTAGTAGGTGGAGCCATCGCTATTAGGTTGGAGGCCATCACTACTAGCAGCAAGAAGCTAGTAGGTGGAGGCCATCGCCAAAAAGAGTAGCAAGAAGCTAGTAGGTGGAGGCCATTGCTATTAGGAGTAGCATGAAGCTAGTAGGTGGAGGCCATCACCTATTAGCTTGGAGGCCATCGCTACTAAATAGCAAGAAGCTATAGTAGGTGGAGGCCATCGCTCTTAGGTTGGAGGCCATTACTGTTACTATAGTAGGTGGAGGCCATCACTAGTAGCAAGAAGCTAGTAGGTGGAGGCCATCGCTATTAGGTTGGAGGCCATCGCTGCTAGTAGCAAGGAGCCAGTAGGTGGAGGGCATTGCTATCAGGTTGAAGGCCATTACTACGCTAGTAGGTGGAGGCCATCCCTATTAAGGTTGGAGGCCATTACTACTAGTAGCAAGAAGCTAGTAGGTGGAGGGCATCGCTATTAGGTTGGAGGCCATTACTACGAGTAGCAAGAAGCTAGTAGGTGGAGGCCATCGCTATTGGGTTGGAGGCCATTACCACTAGTAGCAAGAAGCTACGAGTCACAAGGGTACAAAAGTGTTTTGTTTTTGCATCCTTTCGTCACTCGACAGGGTCGCAAAAATCAATCCCAATAAAGCTATCAGACGGACTGCCAAACGTGATAGTAGCTTCAACCGCATCAATATACTTGTAATTTTATTATACTAGTGCTTGTAATAAATTGCAATCGATCGTTTGTTATGTGCTCTGCGCTTGCACACTTGCTGCGTGACTTTGTGATTAGCCTTTGCTTGCTTCTCATCAGAAGTGGACCTTGGGCCCGTGACTAGATTCTGATGTTGGTAGTTCCATGTGGTTTCTACAGTTTTCAGCATGCATGGGGCATGCTGTTGCTGGGTTGAGCATGACTCATTTTAGTCCCTCACATGCGACTCCCTCCATTTTACCGCTGCCAGAACCGTCGACCACGCTTGTTGGAGCAGCTCGGCTTCATCAAGGGAGCTGGCCATCGAGGGAAGTTGGCTGGTGGAGCCATGGTTTGGAGTCTTGTTGGCCTGATTTCTCCTCTAGAACCCTTCTCTCACTTGGTGGGATCCCACAGACAGTGGCAGCCCGTGGCAGCGTTCATTTCAGACGTGGGACACCAACCGATTCTCGTTCGGTGCCTTCGCTTCGAAGGACGCGAGGTCTCCGGGTCTAGGTCTGTGGTACCATTGTTTGACACACTCCGGCTGGTCCGAGCCTCGGGTTAGGGTTTAGGCTGTTTGGGTTTGGAGAGGGCCACGACTCCACGACACATGGAGAGGACCAATGAAAAAGAGGAGCATTCAGACCTGGGTGTCCTGGCTGGACTTCCCTACCCCTAGACTTCCAAGACCCCCCCCAAAAATGGGAACGACCTGGTTTTCGTAGTGTAAAATCCTTAGTTGATTCGGGATTCAGCCTATTAAATGAATGGTTGTTGGAAGCCTCGGGCTACCCTATCCTACACTTCTCAGATCTCTATCGGACACCCAGACTACGGATACTCCTAGTACATCGGATCGGCCAGGCGACAAGTGGGCGGCCTCTGTGTGTGGAACGCCCAGCGAAGGTTGAAGAGGGGGGGGTTCTCCCGATGAGTGTTGGATATCGGCCTCGGTGATATCTTTTCTCATGGCCACGGAGATGGACATTTCTTGTGATATCTTTTCTCATGGCCACGGAGATGGAGACCATTTCTCGGATGTTCACATGACAAGTGTTCAATCAATCCGAAGAGCTCATCGAGATTCTCCACCGACAATGTCTTCAGTGTCTCGGAGTACCAGCACTGACTAGCTTCTTGTTACTACTAGTAAGGCACCTGCTACTAGTAAGGCGCCTGTTATTATTAGTAAGGCACTTGTTACTAGAAGCGATGCACTTGTTCCTAGTAGCTTGTTAATTTTGAGACAAGATATACGTCCTCCGATGCGTCATGGATTCTGAATTCTGTTCGATTGCGCCAGAGCCGATCGGCTCAGTCTTTTCACTCGTCTCAACTACGGATGAATTGGTGTACAGTAATTATTTGATGACCTACTTGGCGTATCTAGGTTTTTCAACCCTGAAGCTTCATGTGTTCTTCAAGCTTCACCAAACCCAGCCACCGCTTGGGACAACGACTGGTCTGCCTGACATGGGGATTAGAAAGGGGATGGTTTAGAAAGGGGAGAGGCTGTCCGGCGTTCTCATCATCCGGCGAATCGGCCCTCTCTTCTGCCCTGCGATGCGCCATGGCCCCTTTCCTTTGGCATTGGGTTTTTGGAGCCTGGCCTCAACTGAGGTGGTCGGGGTGGTTTTCTGTTAAAATTCGATTCTTCCATGATTTTGGTCAGTCTCAACGGCTTCTCGCAATTGACTCTTCCTGGCTCTGGCGCCAGGTGGTTCCAAACACTGAACGTTTGGTCTCACTGATCTCCGAGCAGTTCCTCACCATCACCGGCAACGTCACCGCCTTGGCCGATCCGAAGTTGCATCGCTATCGCCTGGCGTCGGCCGCGGCGGCACGTCACGCGGCGCTGGTCACGCGGCGGTACGCACGCGAGCGTAGGGCTGAGGAGCCAGAGGACTTGAGGCTCGAGGAGCTCGACCCGAGCTTTTGCGAGGCAGCACCACAGTTCCTGCAAATCAAGAATGAATCCAGGAACATGGATGAGTTTGACTTTGTGAATGATTGCTGCGAACCTACGAAGTTTGACTCTCTGGGCAACGAGCAGTGCTTCCCAGAATGGCCCTCCTGGCCCGTGCGGATTTGCTGTGCTCATCATTTGTCCCAAGGGCCTTCGAAGAGCTCCTACTTTGCGGGCTTTTGGAGGACCCTCGCTTGGAGCATCTTTGAAAGCACCCAGAGCATTGACGAGCCGCCAATAGCATTTGAGAGTCACGTGAAGAGCATCATGGCATATCACAAATCGGGTGTCAGTTTGTCCACTGAGCTGGTGGGGAATGTGGCACCGGGGCCCTTGACCCGGTTCTTGTTGAAGAATCCGGAGGAGACGGTCATGGTGCCACATGACTTCCAGGTGACCTGTATGGCAACATCAGATCAATCCTAGGACTCCAGCCGCACCGTCGTGTCCAAAGTGTTTGGGGTGAGTTTGGAGGATCCAAATACCTTCTGTGGAGGTACTTGGAGCACTAGGGCAAAAAAAATACAAGTAATTACAGCTGTAATATGGATGAATCAGCACCTGCAGGGGACATGAGGGACCAGCCAAATGACCAGATGCAGGGGTTGGATGTTTTCTAGGCAGGAGAATGAGAGCTCAGCTGTCCAAGTTAGGATGGAATCATGGCCATCATGGCTGTTCACCCTCAAGTCAGACTCTAGATGTGGATGTTTTTCACTGGTGCTTTGATGGACCCAACACCGGGCCCAGTGGGCGGCACGACCCTCGAAGGATGGGCTTTTCCAAAAGGATCCTGAGTTAATTGTCTTTACCAAACAACATCAAGCCACCATGTTGTGTTACTCAATGTTACCAATTGTTTTAGACTACAGAACCAGAAAATAGCCATTCACCCTTCGTGGTCACAGTGGTTTTAGGGACGGAACCGGAACGGGTTTCAGTCTCCCTCCTAGGTGACGAAGTTCGGGAACCACAACAGCCTGAGGGGCGGCCGGCCCGTGATCAGCCCCTTCTTCCAATCCTTTACACGAACCTTCAGTGATACGAAGACGAGTGATATGATCATCCACTTTTCCAACCCCTTGAAGTCCGAGGCGCCCCAGTTTCAACACTTCTTGAGCGAAGGAGCTGGCCAAGTGTTGCATTTGGTTCGAAGGCCCTCAGATATGATCCTTTCAGGCTATCGATATCATCGACAAGACTTAAGTGCCGGTGAAGAATGGTTGAAATTCCGGAACCCGCCTGACTGTTTGAGTTGTGATCATGAAGCCTGGTTTGAGATTTTTCAACTCTGTGGCTTCAGATGCAGCTACAACGAGCTTCTTCAGAACGTCACTGCAAGGCAGGGTTTGCAAGCCGAGTATCTAAGAAGCCGCTGGGACATTGTGAAGATGCTGGAAAACGCCCAGGCGCAGGAACTTTTTTCAACCAGGAGAGTCGAAAGAAGCTTTCCAAATGTTTGGGTGAAGAGACACAAGAATCAACATTGATCGCAACTGGCGGTCAATGACGGTCAATGAATTATTTTGGCTGGTTTGAAATCCTAAGCCGAAGGTGGGGGCCCATCCAGCTGTGTCAGCACCAGCTGAAAACGCGACAGCTCCAATCCCCTTGCTTCCAGAGACCAGCAAACGCGCCTGGAAGTCCAAAAACCATTATAGGGATCCCCAAATAGATAGAAACGGTTTTCATGATCTATATACTTTCATATCTATTTGGGGGTCTTATATATGAACAAAGACCTGGATTTGTGGTTTTGCAGGGTCAAATCCTTATATAGTAAACCCTGGTCGTTCGGTAGAAACATGCAGAAACCATGAAATGACCGGTGGTTGGAAGCCTATATATAAACCAAAAGTAGATCACCGCTTAAAAGTATTGGAAACCGTTTCTATCTATTTGCTGATCACCCTTCGTGTCGTCCGTTGTTTCGTGGTTGGGTGCATCCACGCGGCTTCGTGCAGGGAATGAGGGAATGAGTGCAGGTTGGTGACCCTGGATCGGCCTCATTCCCTGCACCGGCCACGCAGTGACTGAGTGAATCATACGACGCCCCCCGGTCACACGGTCCCCACCAGTGGGTCACACTGTCAGCCCCACCAGGCGTGGCAAAGCTTGGATCACGTGCTCCAGGTCCCTATGGAGAGCTTCCACCACGACTTCAACGGCACCCTGCGCTGCATTGCCCGCTTCTTCTTCGACCAGAAACCAGACCAGATACCGGAGCAACAGTTTTCAGCCGACCTGGAGCGCTTTTTGGAGGACGAGACGTAAACTCCACGAAGCCGCTTTGACAAGTCTTCTTCTCCTTAGCACAAACACACGCTTGGCTTCCTTTTGACCACCATTTCTTTGAGATGGCTGTTGCGCACTGTGAAGAAAAGGAGCTGTCATCAAAACGGCCACAGAACAGCACAGAACACCCAGTCAGCGGATAAACTTCAATGAAGAACCTTTAACCTTTCCGGATGGGTTTCCCCACTAAGAACGAACAGCTGGAAAGTTCCTCTTTCAAATCCGTTTTCATCCATTCTCACCAGAAAAAACAGCTCCGTCCGCCACAGAACACATGGCTCCTTGGAGGGGCCCTCGATCTTGGCGCCCCCGGAGACCCTGTCTCTGCACCACGACACCGGCGACACCGGCGACACCGCGCCCGGCTGTGCGCCCGGCGCGACACTGCCAGGAGTCCCAGGGCATGTCGCCCGAGGTGCTCCAGAGCTGTCGCGAGGCGCTGCTGCGCGGCGAGCACTGCACGGGGCCGCGGAGTGAGGATGAGAAGAGCTTTCAATACAGAGCCACGACACATGTGGCCTCGACAGTGGAGAGGAGAGCGGTCAGTTGCTGACCACTGCTTTTGAATGCACGGAGGTTTGTATATGTCCTTGTCGATTCCATCCAGTCCATGCAGTGGATATCAGTGGATGGATTTCTTCCTCTCACAGGTTCCAAAGACCAGAGACATAGACCGAATTGCCTGCAAACCATCGAGTCACCTGGATGGCCGTTTGGAGATGATGTTCGGATGATTAGGTGTTGGACTGTTCCCTCCACCCCTTCAGGAGCCACCTGCGAGCGGAGTTGCGCCGGACGCCCGGTTGGCGGCACTTCATCCTGCTCGCGGATGCCGCCTTCGAGGCCTTGCTGCTCAGCAGTCGCACACGAGAGCTCTTCGGCTGCCCCACTTGAGCGCCGGTCGGTTCTGCAGAGCGTTCGCCGGCGGAACCGGAACCGCTTCCGCCGCGGACCGGCGAAGGGAGCGGACTGGCGCTGGTTGTGGTGCCCCAATGGAGGAGGGGGTCGGTTTTCGGCGATTGGATGCAGTAAAGCCAAGCCGTGATCGTGCGTGTGCCTGTGCGTGTGCGCCCGCGCGCGCGGGAAGGTCCACTCCAAAAGGTTTGCGCTTCCGACATTGAAAAGCCAGCTTCTTCAAAGTGAGAACTAGGATATCAAGGACGTCACTTTGAAGAACCAGGAGAACAGACCCGTTTCTGTCGGGGAATGTCCCAATCCGAACCAGGACTGCTTCTCAACGCGCATCGAGACTCCGGTGCACGGCTTCGGCTTCTTGGCGCCACCATGCCGCTCTGAGGTCATGAGGTCATGAGGTCTAAGACCAGATGTCATTTGATGAGGTCTTTGATTGATGAGGTAACTAAGTATTGATGAGGTCATGAGGTAGCCTAAGTGGAACTTTGGCGTAACTAGATCCCTCCAATCTTCTTCACAGCGAGCTAACACGACATGCAGCCGAACCGATTCTGCGTCTTTTTGCTTCGGACGTTTGAAGGCAAAGTCTGTGAACATCTGTGTGACATACGGTCAGAGATCCGATAGAAAGACACAGGTTTCGCAAAAAGTTGGGAAGTTCAAGGGTAATAATAATACCTGGATCTTGCAACGGTGTATACTTGGACTGCCTGGACTCATCAAATCAAATCCCAAAAAGGTCCTTCCTGACCACTTCTTCGTGAGCTCAGGTGGGTGACGCCGATGGGGGGAGACCAGCGCGTGCCGAGAAATGGTCTCTCTCAGAGTGAGTGACGCGCAGGTCTCTCTCATGCTCCTGACAGCGCTACGGCAGTGACAGCCTATGACCCACTTGCGCTGGTGCATGCTAAGTGAACTGCAGTTAGTGAATGAAAAAGGTGTGGGGTTGTATGTGCAAGGGCTGCAAGGGTCATGGACACCCACCGACATGGGCGCTGGCCAACCGTTGGAACCCCAGGATCTTCCTACGCATGTATTTTGTTGAAGAAAGTATCTCCCTTCATCCATTCTCACCCGACAGCGATCTATTCTCTCATCAACAGTATCCTTGCCATGCCTCATCCAAGGGAATCTCGAACGTGGACACATGAACAATCTTAGCTGCATAGCTGGCTTTTCTATATAGAAGTCAGTCGAAGTACTAGTCAAATTCTACTCAACACCGTCCGACTGTCTGCGCTTTGAAAAGGAAGCGTCCGACGAAGAGCACTACCATGCCAGCGCTCCGTCGAACCGCCACTCGGGACCCGCAACTCGGCGGGCACAAGCTGCTACATACACAGTGAAGCTTCACTGGTGGTTTCTCAAGGAGTGCCAGGATCGCGTCGTCTTCTCTGCCATGCAATCCACCAAGCAATTGGCAGTGGAAGCGACCAAATTTGTCAGTGACAGTGGCAAAACTTCAATGAACTTCCAGTGTGATTGAACCATCTTTGATTAAACCCGCCACCAACAACATATGTTTTTATTTCGTTGAACTCACCCAGCATGAATATCTCTACCAACACCCGCACTTCGTTCTGCTGGCGATCTCATCGATCTCAGGCACCGCCCAGTCGGGTGAAGACCGCCCCAGGCAACGACGGTTCACCCGTGGAGGTCAATCGAAACTGAAACGGTGCGGCTGACCGCAGTGCGGGCGTTCGGATTGGTTCGGATTGGTTCGATTGGTTCGGATTTGGTCGTGGTTTTCATGGTCTGAATCCCAGAAAACCGTTGCTTTTCGACGGATTTTAGACTAGAATCACCAGATGAACCAGTCTTTTAATGGTCGAACTGAAGGCTAGTTTGTTTTTTTTACTTTTCAAAAGATGTTTCTTCTTCATGCAACCCTCCCAGTTTCAAGCTGCCATCCAATTGACTGCTTGGATTTTGTTGGCTAGTGGCTCCCTAGGCTTCCAACCACCATTAATTAATTAATATAGGCTTTACCGAATCAACGTAACTAAGGATTGTACCCTACAAACACCAGGTTAACCATATTTTTAATGGTCTTGGAAGTCTAGGGGGCTATTGCTGTAAAATGGATTAACACGGTTTCTTTATTCAGGCAAAGGCAGCCGGGTGTATTTTGGAAATGACTGGTTTGAGTTCCAGTCGGAACAAGGTACAGCAACGATGCTGGGAATTCCGTGTGCAGTTGTTTGGATGGTTTTGGGGTGCGTCATGGTGCGTCTCTTCTCTCAGACCTGACAGGACGATGGACCCCTCGTAGTGGCGGCAAACAGGACCCCGGACAGTCAAAGCATGGTATACTTTTGAGGTCATGTTACTAATCAGTTTCATGCAGATTGGTGGGGCATTCGAGGCATCCGGGCGATGGTCAACAAACCGACAGAAAGCGGATTTGACACTGTTGACCATGCCACACGCTTACCCAGCCAGTGGATAACTATAAACTGTTATCAAGATAACCCTTAAACCCTTAAACCGTTCGGTGGGATTGGTGACAAGTTGGGTCGTTGACCATGCCACTTTCTACAGAGATCTCCAGAAGCACAAGTGCCTCCAGCTTCATCAGAACTCCAAACTAACATGGAAACATGGACCCCTGAGAATAGCGAAAGATGTTCTTCTTCCCCTCCAAGCACCGTGGTTTTCGAGCTCCATCTTCGGTCTAAAAAAGCATGGGGGCATCCTTCAAACCGCTTGGACCTCTTCCAACCCCCGGGATTGAGAAAATTCCCTCCAGGAGATCCGAGGTCCGCTCCGCACCGGGCTCGACTGGGAGAGTCACTCACACTCGCTCCAGGGGAGGCGCCGACCCTGAAGATTCCCGACTGGAACCCGCAGCCGGGGCCCAAGCACAGCGCGGCAGCTGGGAGAAAAAGCGCAGCGGTAGGACTCTGAAGAGTGGGATCCCTTGGGCTGTTTCGGACTCTCCACGAAACACCAAGAGGACAGTTCGATTCACCGGTGATGGGCCGATTTCGAGGTCAGCGCAGGTGAGGTCAGTGCGGTGGTTGAGGTGATGGTTTGCAGCACATGTTCGGGTACCAAACCGGAGAGTTGGTTTGCTTGCTTGGGTTTACGTCAGCTTCTCTGCGGGGATAGCAAACAGCCGGCTCTAGAGATACGACGGGCCACCGATTCTTCTTGGGGATATGATGGGCAGGTGAGTCAATAGCAAAGCCTGCAGCAAACGGAAGACGGGTGGGTACCAGATTCCCGAAAGATTCCTGAACGATACAAAAATACACAACTGTATCTACTATGCAACGAACTGAACACCATTCGTGTTGATTTCTGCTTATATCGTGTTGATAGTTACACCCAGTGGATGTCTGAAAAATAGCTGCCAGATGCTGCCAGCCATTCGAACCTCCCAACTGAACACCATATAGTGCTTCATGTGCTTGGCTGCCGGGTGTTCACCGTGGACTCTTCGGACCGGAGCCCGGAGCTTGGACCGGAAGCTGGTTCACACGCCGTTTTGTGCCGCACGTGCGGCGTGTTGAGGCACAAGCATGAGAAGCCAGCTGAAAAGGAAGAGCCAGAAAAGAGATTGAAGAGCAAGTCTGAATCCAAGAGCCACAGGATCCGAGCGCGTTCGTGGACCCAACTCCGTTTTTTTCAAAGCTGCCCGAGAGCTGCGTTTCAAGTTGTACGTTGTTTGCTGAGTTTTGGCTCATCACGCCCTTGGCTTTGTTTACCAGCCGAGTGAACGTCTTTTTCTCGTGCTGGCGGCTTGCGTTCTTCACTTTGCCCATTCTGCTCTTGCAGTTGACGACCTAGGCTGAAGGACAAGCTCCGCCAGCAAATGCCATGCTTCCATGTCTTACCTGAGCAGCATGGAGGAAGGACGAATGCCATGCCTCGATCTTCTCGATGCCACGCCACCTGTGACGGGTCACTTCCCCCGAAAACGAAAGGGAACGCGAAGTAGGTCGTACGTCGTCTCTATGGCAGCCAATGGAAAACACACCCAATGCTATTGGGATACTGGGCCTGGATCCATTTTCTCACCTCATGGACTTGGACAGCATTGCGAGCTTATCGCGGCCCGCTATTTCTCGATCAGCCAGCCAGCCGGCCGGCCGGCCGGCCGGCTGGCCAAGAACCACGGTCCAGCTGGCTGCTACTACTACTACGACTACTACTACTACTACTACTACTACCATCTTACCACTACTACTACTACTACTACTATCTTACTACTGCTACTATCTTACTACTACTACTTCTACTACTATCTTACTACTACTACTACTACTACTACTACTACTACTACTACTACTACTACTACTACTACT